GAATAGGGTCGAATTTGAGGATGTCACAGTATTCATAGTGGAATCCTTGCGATTGGCTGACCTCGTGAAGTAATTACCAAAATTCGGATCGAACCACGTTAATTTCTAAAGTTATTTATTGTTCCTCATTGATTCATATGATAATTTTCTCCTTCTCGCATTAAGCGTTACAAGATCCATTATCTTTCACGTTATATTTCACCAGATATTGTGATTTATTGGCCTCTAGGTAGCCCTTTTGTCTCCATGCACGTGCCCATGGGTTATAAAAAAAAACAATAGTACACTAACATATGTTTGCATTTACCATACATATTAACATTGCTTGCATTAAAGACGTCTCAAGTGGCTACAATTTATAGCATGGGCCTTTTCCATGTCTCTCTAGGTGAGCGATGATGTCACGCCCCGTACCCTACGAAGCATGAACATCTGCGTATAGGTCAAAATGTGGTGCGACGCTCCCAGGTTACGTCACCGACCCGAAAACCCAAATCAGAGAAAACACGCCACATGCGGAAACGACGTATATATAATAGATATATACACACCCAGACAATTTAAAAGCAACCATGAATAGCAAGAGATAACAAATTACGAACTATTAAAACAATATATACATTCTTTATATCACTTATATACAACATCCATTATTATTACAAGTACACCGAACCAGTAATTATTAACTTCCAAAATACAAAAAGGATCAGCATTGTCCAACAGTGGGGCCTTCTCAATTTATTGTCTCGCTCCCAAAACTAATCCCTACGCCCTCTCGGAGACGTTCACACTGACTCACTGTCCTCGGCATCACCACATGAATCCTCCTCAGTTGTCTATTCACCCGATGGCTCCGAATCTGCCTCAATATGATCATGGCTCAAGCGGGGGCTCTGAAATGTCGGTTTTACCACAACCGTGAGAAATCTCAGCAAGTACAAACCACTAATCCTAAACTAGGCTAATGTGCACCTCCAGAGGGTAAATAAAACACATAAATCAATGAACCAGTATAACAATCAACATAAGTTCACCCGGGCCCATAGCCCAATTCACTATTCCGCCATGCAGGTTAGACTTTTAATATCCTTATAAAACATATTCAATTAAATCGACCCGAAGGCCATGACCCTAAGGCCAACAACAGTTAAACCGACCCGAAGGCCACGACCCGAAGGTCACAGTTGTCTCGACCCGAAGGCCCGACCCAAAGGCCACAGTTTCTCCCGACCCGAAGGCTCGATCCGAATGCCACAGTTTCTCCCGACCCGAAGGCCCGACCCGAAGGCCACAGTTTATCCCGACCCGAAGGCCCGACCCGAAGGCCACAATTTATCCCGACTCGAAGGCCTACAGTTTGATAATATCGACCCGTAGGCCCGACCCGAAGGCCACAGTTTCTCTCGACCCAAAGGCCCGACCCGAAGGCCACAGTTTATCCCGACCCGAAGGTCACAAGTGATTACAACAACCCGTAGGTCAACCTTTGAATATAACTCAGACATGGATATCGTCACACTCAATTTCCACCAATCACCACTTGCTGTGCAAAACATATGCTCGGGAATTCAAGCCAAATACTGATGTCAAATTTACCAAGCATAACTATGTTCAAGTTAGACATATGCCACTCATTCCCGGCATTCCCAAACATTTCCATTCTAATCCAACCCATTTCAAGTTCATTCCGCGCATTCATTATACAAGTCAATTTAACGCGCCTAAGGCCCGCCTTGGGCAAATCGATCTTGATAATTGTTCTCACTATCTCGGGGTCATTCAATAGGGTTTATTTAGATCCCAACCAAACCCCAATAATACCCAAGACTCAAACCGATATCCAATGAACCAATCAAGTCTCAAATTAAGTCCAAAATGTGCAATTCGGTTCTGGTGAACAGTACCAGCACCGAATGTCCACCATGCACTATATCACACTTAAACAATTCCATTAAACCTTAATCACATACCCTAATAATTCAACCACCAATTATACATAATTAAGCCTCAAATAAGCTTAATTAATCCTTACAATGCCCCAATCAAGGTCACTTACCAATGAATCCAACTAGTGCCACACTTACACAATTTTACACAAATTCGGTGCCCCATGAACAGTACCAGGGCAGGGTACATTTTGTCCACTAAACCACCATTAAACACCTCATTAGGCTCTAGTCTCAAACCCTAATCACCCAAACACTAAATATACTTAATTAAGTCTCCAATAAGCCTAATTAGCCCCTAAAATGTCCATTTCTAAGTCATTAACAAATAAACCCAATTAGTGAAACTCTTAGACAAAAATGCACAAATTCGGTACTCAATGAACCGTATCAAGGCAGGGGGCTGTTTAGGCTTTAATCCACCATTAAACCACCTCATTAGGTCCTAATGACCTATACAAAACATCCCACACACAACTAAACATCATTAGGTCCTAAATGAACTCAATTAACCCCTAATTACCCTCTAAGAAACACAATTAGACTAATTAAGGGTTTAGGGGTTTATACTCACCTATTAATGACTCAGGACGACGAGAATGGGCGGTCGATCACCGACGCGCGGTAAGGATCGACGGCGGCGTTCCGGATGCAAGCCGGCGGTGATGGTCCGGTTCTTGGCAGCACCGGCGACCAAACAGGGCAGAGAAAGAGAGGAACGGGAGAGAGAGAGTGAAGGGTAAGGGTGATGATCGGCTTGGGTGACCAGGACGGGCGGCCAGCAGCTCCGGCGGTGACTGTTCCGGCGTGAACAGTACCAGGATGAGCAGAGTTGTCCACGGCAGAATTGAAAACGGGAAAGGAGAGAAATTTTGGGGAAAATGGCCGAATGGTCTAGGAAGAGAGAGAATAATCTGGTCAAATAAGGGTCAACATGGTGTTAGTGGAGTCCATGTGTCAAAATCTTGGGCCATTGGACAATTTTGCCCTTGATCCAAAGGCTAGGATTTGTTCTAACCCAATAATTTAGGGGTAAAATGGTCATTTGACACTAACCCAAGGCTGACCAGACCTGGATTAAGCCAAACTCAGCTTGGTTAAACCCCCAAAATTTAACCAAATTCGGAATTGTCCAAAAATGGCCCAGGGGCATTTTCGTAATTTTCCGATCCCGGACTGAAATTCCAATTTTTGTCCATACCGGTCCTATATATTCACAGTAGACATAATATGGTGTCGGATCCTTAAAATTCATCCTTTAAGCCCTCGAAAATCAGTCCAAAAGTTTGGAGGGGCAAAACCGTAAATTCTCATTTTTCTCCCACCAAACGGCGTCGGATTAATTCCGATCATTCACGGAACTTTCTCGCCATAAAATACTGGTTCCAAAAACCCAACTCGCATCCCGAACCAGTCATCACAGCCCGTGAACAGTATTTCACAGCTTGTGAACAGTGATTCGCAGCATATGAACAGTAATTCGCAGCCCCTATTAATCCGAATTTCCAATAAATATTACCCAATTTAATTCCTAAGGCCCACCATAAAATTTCCACTCCCCATTCACGTAATTCCGCACCTAATTCCATACTGATTTTGCCCAAAATCGCCCGTCGATACCCGAAGTCCAAAATTGTGTTTAGAGTGCGACTTACTAAAATCAAACGAGCATTAACATACACTTCATTGATCCCGGTAACGGGTCAAAATTCAGGATGTTACAGATGAGCTCGAGCATCTTCTCCAAGATGATGGAGACATGGCGGGGATGTACCTGACCAGCAAACTGCTTCAAGAAGAAGATGACAACTCTTCTTCTTCCTCAGCTGCTGTCGAGGAGGAAGACGAAGCTCGTGAACTCAACAATGACGGGCACATACTGAATCTCTTGCTTTCTGTTTAACTTCAATTTTGTTACTATTGTCTTATCGCCAAATATATACAGGCATGACAGTGGAGATCCCGATATCTCACCCGATGACGGTTTGACTGCTCCGCGTGGCTCGCTGAACAATGAAATAGAAACGGCCAAGAGCAGCGATTCTCGCAGCGCCGCCCCAGCCAGGCATGTCCACGTGGCAGAATTAGAGATGCTCCTAGAGGCATACTTCGTGCAAGTTGATGGCACACTTAACAAGCTCTCTACAGTATGAATCTCATACTTACTCTATGATGACAAATTAAATTTCCTTATGAAAGCACATACCCAAAAAGAGACACTGAACTACCTTTTCGCTGAAAATTAATAGCTCAACTCGTTAGTCCTCTTCTTGTTTTTTCTGATCTTAAAGCTGAGGGAGTACGTCGACGACACGGAGGACTACATGAACATAATGTTGGACGACAAACAAAACAATCTACTGCAGATTGGAGCGCTGATGACAACCGCTATTCTGGTGATCAGCTTGTACATAGTCGTCGCCGGCGTGATGGGCATGAACATCACCATCACACTTTGGCATCCCCCAAATCAGTCCCAGGAAGACTTCCTATGGACCAACGGCGCTTGCACCATCATGACCATCTTATTGTATGTCGGCATAGTTGCATGGTACAAATACAAAGGATTGCTATATTAAAGGCATATAGAAATTTAAGTTCACCTGCAAAATAAGCGAAATGTTTAGGATTGGTTTGGGTAGACACCCTCCATGGATAGTTTGCTGTGACTACTGCAAAACTGTAATTCTGAACTTGTGGCTCATGTAATCTTGAAGCATATTGACACAAGGAGAGATGATTCCAGTAAAATGAAAGAAAAGAGGATATCAAGAAATACTACTGTATTAATTATCAAGTTTGGAAAATGAGAGAGACTTCGGCCAGAGAATGAGGAAATGGGTTGAACCAATCCATGTTGACAAAGAACCGGTTCCATGGAAGCTAGTATGAGCCCCACTGGCATGCCCTACATGGGTATTCTCGACAAACAAGTTGATGGAAATGTCGTAAAAGAATGAGCAGAAGCCAAAAAAAAAGAAAAAGGAACGGTTATGTAGAAAAGAATGATTTGTCTTCCAAAACACCATATAGATAAGAAGTATGACCCCGACATCGATAACCTCATCTTTAATTCTGCCATTGACACTGAGTAGATCTTCATAGCTGATCAATATAATGATGCTCAATGGCTTCCCAAATACTCACAAACAGTTTACTTAAAAATATCAGTGCAACATTCTTCTGCAGACAAGAACTTGATAGAGGCCATTCTTCAAAAAGGTCGCGTGACCGTAGATTGAGGAGGCCTAATATATTGAAATCTGCTACAATAATTTCACCTTCAATCCGAGTCCATGTCCTCAGAAGGATGATTATCAGGAGGATTTTTCGTTCTAAAATCGTTGACAGCTTTATCGAATGTGCCCCTTATGTGTTGACACATCAGCATCAGATCTTGGCATGCGTCTTTCAATACCTCTCTTGCTGGATCATCTGAGAAACACCACGTAAAAGATTCAAACAGAGTAGAATACATGGAAAGCCACTCTGGAGATCACCCGAGAAGAATGCCAGATGACCAACAGCTCCATTGTTTACACAAGGTGGGGGAAGATGAATGCGAGACACAAAAGCTAGGCCGAATGCCTGGGAAAGGGAGGCCTCTACTAACCAGGGCAATCCTCTACACTGTTCTGTGGAAGAAGTTTCATGGTGTTACAGTGCAAAGTTAAAACAGAGAGTTGGTACAATTTCGAATGACTTAACAGTGCTGGGTATGGCAAAATGTATTTAAGATTTTATGATGTGCTGTGAGGATTCCATGAGCTCGTCAACCATTTTTTGACAAAATCCAGCAGCACTTTCTCCTTATTTCCTGGTCTACCCATCTATAAAAAAAAAAATACATAACCAACTACAATTTCACACTATAACGTGATTATAGAAGCAAAGCAAAGCATCCAAAGTACATCACATCTCTTAGGCTTGAGAATGATGAGAGCACAAAATACCTGTCGTTTGAACTCTAACATTAACCCGCGCTTCCGAAGGATGAGGAATGCTATAACCACAAAATATTACCCGCGGACTGCAGAATAGACACAACATGCATTAAAACTACATGGGATCTAAACTTACCAAATAAAGACAAACTGTGCAATAGCTAGAACAGAAAATATGGAAAAGATTGAAGTATACTAGAAGATCCTGCTAACTTCTATACCAAGGAGAAAAGGAAAGGTATAACAGAAAATGTTCCAGTTAGTAGTTCATCATAACATTTTTCTAGATTCATTGCTCTCCAACAAGACAAATAACTCAGGCTTCATTCGCTGGTTTCACCCAATGAAAAGCAAAAGTAAGAAGTAACCTTCATTTTGAGGGAAAAAAGAACATTAGTATGTGATAATGATGGGTAAAAACTAATATGTAATAATTATCCAATTAAAATTCTTCCTGTCAGTAAGTTTACTGCTTAATAGCATCCCTGCTCCTGATGTTTAACACTTACATGCTGATACTGACCAAAATGATTAATGAATAGATGATCCGACAATGCAAAGATCTGACAAATAGCACCAAGTACAGTAATGTAGTACTCACTCTTGATTCAAGGTAAATCTGAGGGCATTTGCAAGCGTATGATCCTCCTCAGTAAGAGAAAATGTGGCATTCCGTTGATCTCCAAAGGATGCGTGTTCCATCAGCAACAATTACTGTACAGCAAGATATTCCAAAATGTTGAGAAAATATCACTAACTAAGCACAGAGGGAGAGAGAGTTATTTTATAATTAATGGTTAGGAGATTAGCTTCATATAAAGATTCATCTCTACAATTCAGAAGAAAAATACTACTTTCCTCAAGACAGCAATTCTTCGAAGGGATATTTTTTACCAAAGTTAATATCCTTCAAAAGTCAATAAACATAAGAATTCGACAATGGACTCAAATACAACATTCGATTTGTTTCACCCACTCTTCCATAAAAACTTAACTCGCAAGACCACACTCAACCAATCAGAGAGACACAACTCACCGCTTTTGACCCACTCAGCAATCAAAGCACTCACTTATCTCCCTTCCACACATCTCACCTGCTGCAAAGCACACTCGTCCCGCTCAGCCTTACACTTAACTCTCACTTTCACAACCTGCAAAATGGCAGTCCCCTCTTCCAATCTTTTGATCTCAATCTCCATGACAACCGCCCGCCTCACTCTAGCTACATTTTTCCCTAGTGCTTAAGATATGTGGCCGCTTTTTCCATCCACAAATGGCCTACTTCTTCAACGAAAAATCAGGACACTAAGAAATCAATATGGAGAAACAGAGAGAGCTAGCTTTAGAGAGATAATGTCATGAGTTTGAGTGGTGTTTTATCATTAAACACGAAGTGGGTCGGAATTTTTTTGCCAAATCAAAATGAAATCTTCAATAAAAAGACAAGAAAAAATTGGAAAAAAAAAAAACGTATCATCGAATTCATTCCTAATTCAGATTTGCGATCTCACAAACAGAAGGAAGAACAAAACTCCATGAAAGGGTCACCTTCACAAAGCAAGTCAGCACAGTCGATGCACACAAATTTCATACCTACTCACTGTACTCCTAATTCAACCGACCAAGATTCGAGTAACCCAGCTGCACGAACAAAGAAACAACAAGATTTCCCGGCAAACGAACGGCGATGCGCCCGACAAATAGACAGACCATCCCGAGGAGCTATAAACGGCAATGCTTGAGAGGGCTGAGGAGCTAAACAGCGCGAAAGGCAACCTTAGCGAGAGAGAGAGAGAGAGAGAGAGAGACAAGGACGAGACGGGAAGCGACCTGAAAAGCGACGAGTAATCGGCGGCGACGGAGCTGCCCGTCGGGCCGGCGGAGCCTTGAAGGGACGACGGCGAGCGCGGCACGGTTGGGGCGGTGGACGGCGGCGAGCAGGCGAGACCGTGAAGGCGGCGGCGGCGGCGGCTGCGCGAAGGCGAACAAGGAGTGGGAGAGGGCGAGCGGGTTACGGATATGGGAAAAGGTTTTATGATGTATGTCGTTTTTTTTAATTCTTTTATTTATATTTTTCTGTTAATATTTCTCGTTACGTAATCAGAAATTAAAAAAGTATTATACTTATATATATAAATAGTAATATGAATAGTAATCTAAATATTCTATCGTTAATTGACTGATGAAAAATATATGTAGTAAGTTAATAGCGGTGTATGATCCGGTGCAGCAACGCCTTAAGTGCGTTTATTTTTGTCTTATTTTAAATTAAAAATAGCTTTTCTTCCATTCAATTTCAAATTGTTATCTAAATTTAAGAAAAATACCATGAAAGCTATGTGCCAATTTTACAAGTAATATTTCGAGCATTTTTTACGCCAAAAAATGTCAAGATGCATGTGCCGTAAATTCTCTAAAAAAAATAAAAAGTAAACAATGATCATTAATAAATAGGAAAATATTTTCATATGCATTGATTTTTAGGGATGGAAGTGAGATGAATTTGGAACGGCCGAGTTATAGATTTTGATATAAGATCCCGGACTCGCCTCAATGAAGTTGTCGCTTTCCCACTAGGTATCCATGACTCACAAAATGTTAATTTTCTCGTAATTATATATCTCTTGCTAAACACGTAGTAAAATATGTCAAATTTGCAAGCAGAGCAATTTATCCAAAATCCGCATATTGTGAATCTCCAATTAGGAAAACCTACAGAAATAAAATAACCATATTTAAGTAGGATTGTAAATCTAAAAGAGTCCCATGCTCCAGTAGGATTGTAATAATTATGCTCATAAGCTAAATGACCTAAAGAATGTAAAGGGTATAAGATGATTTTAGTCGTTAAAATATATTGGATTCGAGCATCAAGTTTTCCAAAGCCATCATAAATTTTATAGGATTTTTAACGGTCGACTGCAAACTCGTCGTGCTACTTGAAATCTATATAGACTTTCCATTGAGTTTGAGTCCATTCCATCGCAAATCCCAATAAAGTGTGGGGAGGCAGATCAGCACTAGCGGTCGTTTGGATGTTGTCATAAGATCTCACTCTTTTTATGAAATGGTTGGATTGAGCCCTAATTAATCTTTATCACGTGCCACAACCAGTTGAGTGTGGAGAGCTCACTCTGCTCTAGGGGGTGTGCACGGCAACTAGACCGAACCGGCCGGTTCGTGGCGATATCTAATTTCAAAATTTTGAAATTAGGAATAGTTGATCCGGTTCCTGAATCTAGGTGCAGAACTGAACCACTCGAACCGATATTTTTTTAATTTTCTTTTCTTTTAAAGAGTAAAGAAAAGAAAATTATCAAAATCCTAAACCGGACCGATCCATTACCGCTTCTAAACTGGTCCAACTCGAGAACCAATGACCCCCTATTCAGCGCCAACAGAAAAAGTGGTTGAGCCACGTACATGATCTTAGAACTGATTCGTGGAGGGACAAGGGCGAGTTGATTTTCATGGAAGACGAAGACTAGTCGGGTCACTGTTCTGTGCGAGCTCCCAAGGGGTCGCTCAAGCGTAAGTCCAACAGTTTCGTCTCTCGTTATGTCGACTGGCTTTCTCTCATCGTCGGTAGAACATCGCTTTCCCGAGACTGCTGTCGTGCAGTTCGCAGCGGGTTGCTTCATTGCTCTGCAGTGTAGATTGTGCACAGAGACTGATCGAGTTGCTGAGTGCTATGATGGTTAGCTCTCTTTCTGATAACCCATCACCCTCTTTTTCTCGCAAAAGAATTCCTTGCATTAATGTGGCCGAAAATAGTGGAAAAAAAATGTATTGGGTCTTGCCATCTTAGTTCGCAAAGAGGTCGATCAGATACCCCGGAGATGGAGCTGTGTTAACATGGTGGGATAACTGAAGGAGAGGAATAATTCACGGGCTAGGCCAGCTATGACTTCGTATTAGGAAATGAAACTGCATGAAAAATGAATTCGTAATCATCCCAATTGATGATCTGTCTGTAGTGTTGTTGTGCATGTCAAAGGAAGGTAATTTAGATGAAGACTCCTAAAAGGGTAAGGAATTATGATATCAATCCAATCAGTACATAAAAAGTGAAGGTCATGCGGATGGTCACATGCTTGCTCTGTATCTAATATGGCTTTGAAAGAGCTGGATGTATTTGTTATTGACATGCAATTATGTTGCTCGACTTTAGCCAGATTTAGAGGAAGCTTAATTGATTGACCCATCTACCTGTCACTTCATGCATTATTAGATACAATGTTTATTGGTCTATCTTCTATGTCTACACAATGTATCATCCTATCCATTGCATTACAACACAAGGGATACTCAAAATCAGCGTGCTGGCTTGGATTTTCAATTTTAAGCAGCTTTTCCTATATGCTTATCGACTGTGCGAGGTTGTCCGGTTGTGTACATATGGTTGCAAATTTATCTATGAATATAGTGTGTGCTTTGTCACAAAAGGAAGCTGAACGATCTCTCCGATGCATGATCTTCTTTTCGTATCTCTTCATTCTTCGTGTTTATATGACACATAGCAATAAAGAGGTCCATCTTTATAGACCCTTTCTCATACACATAATGCGTGGATTTCGAACTATAATCTGCAATAGTTTGCAAAATTTTAAATTGTTCAGAAACTGTAGAGGTCACACTTTTGGAAGAAAAGCAGCGATCAAGACTATGATTAGAGTAGAATTGGCAGTGCAAACCTTTTAACAGATGTTGGTAGAACGAAGAGGACAACTTAGCCGATGATGGTGAATACCTTTTGGCATGTTGTCTTGCTTTTGTTATTTATTGACATGTTTTCATTTACAAAGATAAAGTGTCCCATTGCACAACGGTTTTGAGTTTTAGACATGAGATACCATATCTTGAGGTCTTTCCGCTGGATATACAAATTTGTTGTCTGAAGAGAACTCAACACTTGTAGAAGCTTGAGCTTTTTTAACTGTCTGCAAGCTTTCAACACAATACGGTTGATAATCATCCACTGTCCAACTTGTGCTAATGCAGTTGCAATCTGGTTCACTGTGCTTATTCAGATCTGTTGTGTGACAATTATGACCTTGATATAAAATATGTTCTTCAAAATAATTGAGTTGGATATTTACCCGAGATTGGTTGCTTCTAGACAGGCTTCTTTACTTTGAGGTTGTGGCTGGCTTGGCTGGAGGTTTGAAGGTGCAAACAAGTCATGTACTATGGTCCTATTTGATGGTTCATAGGAATATTGGTAAGCTTCATTCACATCCCTTGCTTTATAAACCTATGGATTAGGAAATTTGTCAGTAAAATAACAAATGAGTGATTGATTATGGTTTAAGTAGATGTAATAGATGCACTTGTCATCTGAACGATTACCTTCTTTCTCAATGCATTATTTTCCTGATGGAGGAGACTTATCTTCTTTTGCAGCCCTATGTTTTCCTGATGTATCGCGTTTCCCTGGAATGAATTAAGCTTATGTGAGTCACTTGATAGTTAATAACCATACAATTGGAATGAAGTCGCCAGTTTTGTGAAAACCTTTGAGTTCAGCTCTTTTATCTCGTCAGAGAAAATTTGCTTCTGCAGAGAAAGAATTACCAGAATTATTCCTTGCATATATTGAGGTAGCGGTGTGTCTTTTGCTGGATCTGGTAATAATACAGAAACAAAGTTCGACAGTTTGAGGAAGATATTCAGCTAATACCTTTTTGGCCCGAACACTCTTTAGGCTCTTCTCCAGTTGGTTTTCTAGATTTTGCAGATTTTTGGCACTGAGGCCAGTGAGTTGTTCTCCCATCACTTGCCTGCATGCATCAGATTGAAGAGAAAATATCATGCCTAGACTCGAAAACTTATCAATTTCCTGCCACATTTTGAAGACCTTCTTATGTCTCTAGATACTTGACATTCTGCTGTCATATCACGAGGCATCCAACACCCTTTCCAATCCTTTAGTTAAGTGAATAGACATTTTTCTAATGTAAAATTTGCCACATTTTCAAATCTAGAAGCTATCATGACGAGTTGCTTTAGCAATTCTGAACGACTTTACTGATTATATAAATGAAATTTGCCATTTTAAAAGTTTTTGACCCTGTCTAGCTTCCCAAGATTGTTAAAACTCGAGGAAGCCTTCTGGATTTCTTTTTGCTGGCAGCTCAGCCAAAATATTTGAGAAAGTGTACCCAAAATGTGATAGTTTCTGGATTTCTTTGTCCTAGCAGCTCATCCAAAATAAATTGAAGAAGTATACCCCTAATGCGATGGTTTCAAAATTAATCCCTGAATTTATTGTCCCCTCTCCCAATAAAAACTTGTTGGGCCTAATCCACAAACACGTTCTTCACAGACTAAGAGATCCATTAAATCGCAAAAATAATACTTTGTGCTACCTCTGCCTGGACATTAGTAGCTCTCTTGAAATATTGACACATCAATTTTGAAATATTGACATATCAAGTAGATAGAATATGCTTGGCTGAGTGATTATGCTTAATGATTATAAGAGAAGTTGTTGCCTTCTTTGGTTATGAAACAATTACTGTGTTGCACTATCTACCGTAGGTTTCATCTGCTTTACGCAAGTAGTCTCAATGTACACGATTGAGAAGATGACATATATATTTTGTTCTCTCCTCGGACATGGATAAGTTTTGGATGTATTTCCTAGACTAGACATCACGTGGGGCTAATTGGCTGATAAATTACAAACAAGATACATTTTTTTCGCACTAAGTGGAGCTAATTATACGAATTCTTAGACACCATGGCTGATTCTTGATATTCCTCAATCTATAAGATGATAATTTTAATAGACACAACAGTTGGAACAGAAATTTTAATTCAGGTAAGCATGCTAAATATCATTCAATGAGACAATTGGAAGAGTCCTCAATCCTTTTGGAAGTCCACTTCTACAACATTTATGTACATTTCTCCAAAAACTCATGACCAAGTGGAAAATTACTGTACCTGTGGCACTCTTGCAGATGCTGTAGCTGTTGGCTTAAGCTTGCGACCTCTCTTTGGCAATGCTGGGAACATCATAGAAGTAGCATGACCGAGGTCGTCCCAGGTGGAGTAAACTTAAACGTGATTTGACTTAGTGTCGATCACGGGTCGAGAGCGCATAATCCCAATGAGCCACCCGTTAGCCAGAGATAAGCTAAAGTTGCAATTGTCCAATTTTAGTCATTTCTTGGAATTCGGGCCCGGGAATCGAGAATTTTGAAAGTGACAATTTTGAGCGGCCGATGACGTTTTTGGCTTGGCCAACCTTGGGGCCACCCATTTCTGCAAAAAAATGGATTTCGGTCCGGGGCCGGAAAAATTACGGTTTTGCCCCTGTAGGCACCGAGGTTGGATTCGGAGGCCGTTTAAGGTTATTTTTCGCGGCCAAGGTCATTTTGGGGTGGCCACGCACATTCAGAGTGGTTTTGGCCAAAAATTGGAATTTCGACAAAAATTGGAAAAATAATATTATTTTATTCCCGAAATTTTGACGTAGATTTTCGAGGGCTTGCGCGATGAATTTCGCGATTCCGACGCCATATTATGTTGGCCACGCACATATGGAACGCGTATGTGCGAAAATTGGAATTTCGGTTCGGGATCGGAAAATTACAAAAATGCCCCTAGGCCTATTTTCCTTTATTCCGAATTTTGACCAAAATTTGGGGACTAACCAAGGTCAATTAGGCTAAACCAGGTCTGGTCAGCCTTGGGTTAGGGACAAATGACCAATGGGCCCTTAAATTATTAGATAAGATCAATTAGTGGCCCTTGGATCAAGGGCAAAGTTGTCCAAACCCTTGGATTTTTGACACATGGATCCCACTAAGCTATCTTTGACCCATTTGACCAGATAGTCTTCTCTCTCTCTCTCTCTCTCTCTCTCTCTCTCTCTCTCTCTCTCTCTCTCTCTCTCTCTCTCACGTACAGAAGCATTCAGCCATTTTTTCCCCAGAATTTTCCTCTTCTTCTTCACGTTTCGGTTCTGCCAGTCCCGTTTCGCCATTTCCGCATCGTTCACGCGGAACAGTACCGGTCGGAGCTGCCCCCACCAAGCCAGCACCACCATCAACCATTTCCACCTCTATGCAGCCATCACAGCCCCGGTTTTTGTCCAAAACAGCCTTGTTTTTCTCTTTTTCTTCCCTGGCCCGCAAACAAGATCACGGAGCTTCGCCGGAGCTCCGATCGCTGTCCGTCGACACCCAGTATCCCGGCCCACCGCCGCACGTCGCCGTCCCGCCCGAGTCCGTAATGCAGTGTCCCCGTGCGGTGCACTGTTCACCGTCCGTACGAACCACTGTTCACACCGGACCGTACGGGACGCCGCGGCTGCCATCGGCACCTCGCCCGGCCACCGTCCCAACCTGTCCGTACGGGTGTCCGTACGAAAGTACTGTTCACCGCGTCCGTACAGTACACTGTTCACGCCGTCCGTACGTCGTCGCGACGCCGCTCCCGTTGCTGCTGCTGTCCCGGCCCGTTCCAGCCCCGTTCTGGCTCGCCTTTTTGGGTAAGTGTTTTCCCCAAATGTCATTTAGGACCTCGGGTATTTCTAGACTCGTTTGAAGTTCGGTTTAAGTGATTTTAGGGACTGTTTGTGGCTGTCTTCGGGACTAAGTTAGGGGTTGAATGTTTGGAGGTTGTGGGCTGATTGGGCGACGAAATTCGAGGTTTAGGAATGCTGAGTTAGGGCTGTGATGTCAAGGATCGATCGGGAATTAAATGGGCGATTAATTGGAAATGTATTGGCTTGATTGGGTTTATCGGATTAATTGTGTAGTTTGCTGTCATTGGCTTGTTCTAGTTTGTGCTTGGGCCGAATGTGATGTGGTGCTATGCCGTGTGTGTGGCCGTGAGGTGTGGTGGCGTGGACATGTGAATGTGCATTGAGTTCGTGTGCCGAGTGTGGGTGATCATGTGGTGTTCGTGTGATGAGAATGCGTGTTTGTGAAGTGTACGTGAGATGTGAATTTGGTGCGTGGCTATGTATGTGTGAGGCGTGTATGTTTGGCCGTGCGTGTGCTGGTTGTGTGTAAGTGTGGTTTGAGTGGAACGAGGATATGGAAATGTGAGATTGGTTGGAAAGGATCCGTCCTGAGGCGTGTACGTTTACGCGGGACGATGCCGTCCCTGACGAGGTGACGATGCCCGGCCCGACGGGGTGACGATGCCTGACGAGGTCAGAAGACCGTTGGCCTGATGCGTTTTACGCGGGCGCGGTAGTGGTGGAAAGGTTGAAAATGAGTGAGATTTGGCAAGACAAGCGAGAGGATTGTAGAAAGTGACGCATGGTGTGAGTAGCGTGCGAGTGTGTTTGTATCGCGCGATGTGATGCTTAATTATGGGGTAGAAACTGCTAGGCACGGTATGGGACGTGCCCAAGTGGGTTCTGTCTTATAATTGAGGCACGCGCGCGTCTGTGATTCCTTGCTGTGATGTGTTGGCTGTGTTATTATCTAACGTGCAGGAACGTGCATGATGGATTCCAGGTAGGGTCGCATGTGATTGTTAGTTTGGCCAATCGTTGTGTGTTATGTGTGTTTTCGTCTGGCGGTACGTGAGTGCCTACGTGGGGTTTGGGGTTGTACACTTATTGAGATTCGTCTCACGGTTGTATAACCGCCACTTTTCAGACCCCCGGCCCTAAACCCGGGAAGTGCGCCTTTTCTTTTTGGAAGTCCGGGGAGCTACTGTTGGTGCCCAGTGGAGCTGCAGGTGAGTTCCAGAAATTCGAGCCAGAGATTCAGAAGCAGACTGGAGGAGGGCGATCCTTAGGTTTTTCCTTAAGATTTTTGGGGGTTGTGTAAATCGGGTTGACCCATAGGGAAGTTAAGTTAACCAGACCCTGATATTTTGTTGACGGTGATTTCGGATGCTAGTTTGTTAATTATGCCTGTAATATGATGTATGTATATTTGGTGTTGTATGAATATGTGGTTGCTTGGATTATTGTTGTTCTACCCCGTTGTCGTCATTATTTGTCCAGGGGTTTTGTTATTCGCTTCCGCATGTGGCTCGATGTTTGGGTTGGGTCGACGACGTTCCTGGGACGTCGCATCATTTCGACCGGAGCAGGGGATGTCGCGAGCTCGTTGGGGTTCGGGGCGTGACATCCCCGTTTGAATTGGTATCAGAGCAAGGTTAGCTCGATATCAGTAAGGTCGAGACCTGGAGTGATAAGGAGCGACGACTTGAGGGTAGTCAGTAAGGGAGCCTTCGTTAAGTGTGTGTTTATGTTGATTGTGCGTGTTATGTGAGTACGCGCCTGTGATTGCTGAGTGGTTTGTTGTGGTTATAATGATGGTTGAGACGAAGGTGCGGCAGGACTTGAGGTGAGTACGAGAACTCTGTTGAGTGCTTAGTGGTGTTGGTTTGATGTTGGGTGATCGGTTTGATGGTGGTTTGTTGGTTGTTGAATGCTAGTTGTCGAGTGTTGTGCCTAGGGTTTAGACTAGTGTAGTTGGCCTAGACCTCTGATACCCGTGTGGACTTATAGCAGGTAAGAGAGTAGTAGGAAGCTGATATAATGAGCAGCGAAGGAAGAAGAGTAGAAAGAGGTACAAGAAGAGGTGCAGGAAGAGGAGTACGGGGTCGAGGTCGTGCTAGAGCTAAAGCCGTAGAGGATCTGGGTATGGATGCTAGGGTAGTAGGAAATCCTGGAGTGGGTGTTAGAGCTGCAAGAGACCCCAGAGCTTATGCTAGGCTTGCGGAAGATCCACGAATAGAAGGAGTTCTCAGGGTATTAGAAAGGATTGGGAATATGTTGGATCGGCAAGCCCAAGAGCGAGATAATGCGACCTCCCAAGCTGCTGAGGCTGCAGCTGCTGCAGTTAATGAAAATGCTAGTATTGGAGGGAATCAAGCCCAGCAAGGGCAGGTTCAACCAACCGGGGTTAGGCAAATGCCCCAGTTAGTAGAGCAATTTATGAAATTGAAGCCGCCTAAATTTCATGGTCGTGGTGACCCCGAGGCTGCGCCAAGGTGGGTAGAAGAACTGGAGAAAACTTTTAAGGTTTTGGGGTGCACCGAGGAGGAGAAAGTGACATTGGCGGTTTATCAGTTACAAGAGGGTGCAAATGATTGGTGGAATGCTGTGGAAGGTAGAGTGTTTCCTGTAGGAATGGCCCCGACTTGGGCTATGTTTGTAGAGAATTTTTATGAAAAATATTTCTCGGAAAATGCGCAAGAGAAGAAGTTGATGGAATTTATGCGCTTGCGCCAGGGACAAATGACTGTGGATCAGTATGAGGCCGAGTTCGCGAGATTGGCTAAGTTTGCACCGACCATGGTGGAGAACCCGAGAGATAGAGCGCGAAGATTCCGGGATGGACTGAAGCCGGATCTTCGGAGTCTGATATTATCGCATGACATTAAGGATTATGGAGAAATGTATAGGCAGGCTCAAATTATTGAGCAGGATATGATGGAAAGAACCGTCGCGTCTGGATTACCACATATCTCAGCCGGGGACGATCGTCAGCTGGGGAAAAGGCCGATGATGGAAAACCGACGTTTTGTCCCTCCGGCAAGAAGGAATATTGGAAAGTCGGTATATTCATCTAGTTCAGCCTATAGACGGTGTGGGAAATACCATGGGAATGGTCCCTGCCCAAGTGTGACTGGGGCATGTTTTGGGTGCGGTGGAATGGGACACCACATAAGGAATTGCCCGAATCTTCAAGTTCGACCACCCCCGTCAGTGCAGGCACCTCGGATTGGGAATCCGACTAGTGCAGCCCCGCCGGCTAATTCGAGCAGACCGCCGGCACAAGGACGTGTGTACGCCTTGACGCGAGAAGGAGTTGAGGATGCGCCAGGCGTAACCCCAGGTATGGTTTCTCTGTATAATCATGTGGCATTTGTTTTATAGATTCGGGGGCGTTGCACTTGGTTGCGTTTGTTTGATTTGTTATCGGGCTAGATTGAATGGTTTTCAGAAGTATCAGCGTGTGTGATTATGCCATTGATGAATAAGATGTGCACGCTGTTGGGATGTTCAGGCTGTGAAATGATGTTTGGTGGTGTAGAAAGCGGAATAGATTTGGCTTTGTTGGTTATGTGTGATTTCGGTTTGATCGCGAGCTTGGATTGGTTAGTTAAACAGAATGCTGTAATGGATTGCAGCAATAGGGTGATTCAGTTTAGTCTGGCCGGACACCTTAGATTTGAGATTGTAATGAGTCGAGAAGGAACCTCGATAGTTGCGCTGTTGACAGGATTTAAGTAAGAGATCTTATTGGATGACCAGTTTGGAAGGACTATACGGACTGTAGAGGATATGTTGGGGGCATGTATATTGGATTTTAGGGGCAAATGGGAAGGAACCAGTTTTAAGGATTAAAACGGTCCCGTTGATCGAAGTTGTGTGGGAATATTATGGGAGTAAGGATAATAAGACGTCATCTCCCCCGCCTGTTTGGATAGCAGGTATAGTTGTAAATTTCGAGGACGAAATTTTATTAGGAGGGAAGAATTGTAACAGTCTGAATTTTCGATCCTTTTCCCAGGATTTAGGAAATGAATTTGATCAATGCACTTATAGTGAGATCTCACTCAGGACCCGCGCATTCTCGGGATGCTAACCTTAGGGGTAAGGCTATTACGGGATTGAGTTCGCACGACCAAAGAACTCGACCTGGGTTCGATCTTCGATCATATGGATTGACGAGGGAATGTTTTGAGCCAACCGAGACCGGTCTACTTGATTGATCGTGTCCGAAGGGAACTAGTGACAGACCCTCGCAATTATATGACAACCGAGGTCGTCCCAGGTGGAGTAAACTTAAAAGTGATTTGACTTAGTGTCGGTCATGGGTCGAGAGCGCATAATCCCAATGAGCCACCCGTTAGCCAGAGATAAGCTAAAGTTGCAATTGTCCAATTTTAGTCATTTCTTGGAATTCGGGCCCGGGAATCGAGAATTTTGAAAGTGACAATTTTGAGCAGCCGATGACGTTTTTGGCTTGGCCAACCTTGGGGCCACCCATTTCTGCAAAAAAATGG